CTTTGAGGAGGACAGCATGCCCAGCAGCTGTCTTCCTGGGAAGATTTTTAATATAAACGACATAGTCAAAAATGCCTCTAATCCAGCACAATACTCTTGTCTGTATTTTTCTCACTTTGGGTAGGAAGAGCAATATCTCAGGTAAACCCGTAAGCAGGCGCGCTCTCCAGAGCAGGGAAACGATCAAAGGCAAAAATAAGCGCAGAGCTCCAGGCGTCCCTATGCGGCCGGCCTGCTCCTTGACGTCGCTGGTTGTAACCACTAAGCCGCTGTGCGGCTCAGGTCAGCAATAACCCAAATGCGTTTTTACCGGCCGGCAGTCATGCAAACTCTGTGCAGAAGGGTTTGCATGATGGCAGGGGCGAAAGCCGTCTCTTGCACAGGCTGACGGCGGCCGATAACGCAGTTTCCCTTGTGTTTCGGAGCAGCTCAGCCCTAAAGGAGCGTGCTTGAGAGAGGAGCAGGTGGGGATGAGCCGTCCCGTTTAGCTGTCTGTCTTGTTGTGGTTGTTGTCAAGTAGTAACACTATTGAAACACGGAAATAAAAATATTCAAATATTGGAAGGGCTTGCGGAAGCTCAGTCCTCCACGAGGCTCAGGCCGGACTGGTCGGTCCCGGAGCGGCCTCCTCCGGCTGCCGCTGCTCAGAGCCCAGGATGGGGCTGGAGACCTCCCGCGAGCCCTTCCGGAGTGCTCGGCTCGGTGGAAAAACCTCCAAAAAACGCGTGGCGAGTGCAAAACGCTGCTAGCGGAAGCTAGGAAAATAACATCAAGACAAAATACTTGAAAGGGGGTTTTGTTTGTTTTACATACTAAATATGGCGCTGCAGTTGGGTTTGCTTGTTTGTAGACGCTGCTGCTCAGGTGGCTCCGTAGAGATGACGCGCGCGCTCTGCCTCTTGCAGCACCTGGGAAAGAGAGTTGGGTCTGGGCCTAGGAGGATACAGCCTGTGATGAAGCGTCGCGAGTCGGTGAGCTCGGCTCCACCTTGTTTCCGTTCGGCGTTTCGGGTAGCCCTGCGCAACCCGAACGCGTGGCCTGCGCTGGCCGATGGAGCGAGGTCGCTCGGTCCTACTGGGACTCGTTTCGGCTTGATGTGGGTTAGGCCGTTCCAGCTACGCTAACCGGCCGGCCGAATGACTTCGGCCGTAGTCGGTGACCTCCCGCGCTGCGCGAGCTTTTGTCGTCCTGCTTTGCTTCTTTCCCGATTCGTCGGGTGAAAAGTCTTTGGATTGTTTTGTCCTTCGCCCAAGGTATTGGGCAGCTTGTGCGTTCAGCTGCTGGAGCCAGCACGGGAGATTTCATAGCTACATTTGAAACAAAAAAATCCGTAAAATACACATGGAGATATGTATATCTCTATATCTCTCCTTGATCTTTTTCCTGGTGTACCTTCCCAGCTTGTTAAAGCCAAAATTGTCACTAAGGTTTAGCTTTAATTCCGACTCTATCAATAGCTCTCGGAGCCTCTGCAGAATTTGAACCTAGGTCTCGTTAAAATATTAGCAGCTTGCTCTTCCAGCTAAGACAAAAGCTAACTTTCCTCGTGAGGATTTTAACTGGGGCGGGTTTGAGGTTCCCGGGGCTGGGGAGGACGTTGCCGCCCCGCGGGGTTTCGTGGCCGTGGCACTGGCGGCTGCTTTCTGAGGAAGGGTGCCGGCGCGCGGAGGTGGCCAGCAGCAGGTGCTGTAGCTCGCTCTTAGGCAAAGCTGCAAGCGGTCGAAATGCAGGATCGGGCCCCGAATTCGGAGCTTTGGATGGACGTACTTGCCGCTTGGAGGGATGCAGTTTCTGGGGGCGTAGGTAACCCATAAAGGGTTTGGTTTTGTTTGTTGTTTTTGTTTTTAGGAGCTCTCTTACACTTAAGGAATGTAAAACCAAACAAGTTCTCACTCTGGTTTTCACACTCAATGCTAATGTACTAAAATTACATTTTTTTTTCCCCCAATTTCTTTTAAATACTCTCCTCCTACAGTAACATCTCTTCTTGTGTATTTGTCCTGCCCGTGTGGCTTTCTCGATTTCTAAAACCGGACAGTACTTTTTTCTTTTTTTTTTAAGGAAAATGCCAAGCAGAAGGTAATTGCACTGATTTTTTTTAACTCCCTTTTTACTGTAAGACTTTTTTTTTGCATCTGCTGTAGCCGTCTGACAATACTGTACATCATGCTACGTGCAGCAAAACACGGAAAAGCTGTGGATACGCTGCCTTGCTGAGCTCGCGCTTTAGGGCCGCGGCTGTATTTGACGATACTGAGAGACGAGCTTTGGTTTTAAACATCCTTCGGCTTCCTGTTTGCGCTAGGGCGCGAGTCCAAGTTGCTCGCTCGGCTCCGGTGGAAATCTTGAGGGATCAGGCTGCGTTCATCGAAGTCGTTCTTCCCTCTCTCCGTGCGTTCCTCCCGCGCGCTGAGGACGCGCAGGCAGGTTTTGAGCCGCCGACGTGCTGCTTGGCCGGGCCCCGTTTAAACGCCCGACTTTGGTATCGCGGGAAGCCACCTCACGGCACTAACGCCCCGCGATCGGCCGCCGTTGCCCCGCGCTTCCCTCGCTCCCTTCCGCGCTGGGTTTCTGCGTTAAGCGGCGCCGTTACCAGAATCGGAGGGTTTCGAGGTGGAAGCGGCCGGGTTTCGCTCGCCGTCCTTGGCGCTCCGACCTCAGCGTTGCCTCCTCGGCTTGCCCCGGGTCGGAAAGCCGTTGGTCCGATTGCTTAATCGCCATTTGGCTCGAGGGCCAGCGGCATCCCTGCTGTAGTCCCTGCTACCATCACAGCTGCTAAACCTTAAAATGCCAAAAATGCATAAAAAAAAAAAAAGAAAGTAAAACAAAGCACCCCACCTTGCGAACGCGTTTGCGAGCAGCTTTGCAATATCTCCCCTTGGCGGACGCCAACGAAGCTCCCGGCCGGCCGGGAGAATCGCTGGCGTCGGTGCTTTTTGCCGGGAAGCCCTGTGGGGCGACCGCTGGCTGTCGCTCCCATCTCCTCCCCAGCGAACGACGGGCCGGGCTAAAACCCCGACGGTTTGGTTGGGCTCTCGCTTATAGCTTAAGCAAAGCTCTCCCGAAAAGCGTGGAGGGAAGGATTTCGCTCTCCGGTAAGGTGCTTTGCGGGGAACATCTCGCCGCTCTCTGGCGTTAGGGGTCTGTAGACGCTGTGGACGTTGCTCTGGTCTGCAAGGGGCTTCGCTGTGCGGGCTTAGCAAACGCTGCTGTTTTGAAGAGCCAAACATTTGCGTTGCAAGTCTGCGTTAAAGGCGATACGCTTTTCTTCCCTTTCCGTGGTCGTCGTGAGTGTGTTTTCCCCCCGCTCCCCACCTTTTGGCCGTGCCGTCGGCCTGGGCTGCTTTCGTTTTGGTGCATCTTTTCCTCCTGGCCTCTCAAACGCCTGCTGGAGTAACTAACTCCCGGCTGATCGTCAGCAGGGACTGCGGGTATGCCTAAATCGTCCCCGGAAATATCAGTTAAAGCAGTGGTGACCACGTGACGCTTTGGGGCAGGCGTGAAGCTCAAAGGGCAGCAGCAAAGTCGAGGAGTTTCCGGGTTTCTCGGAAGCTTTTTCTAGGTCGGCTCGGAGGAGCCCAGCCACCACCGCCGTTTCAGCGCTATGAGGGACGTTGCCCGGGGACCTGGCCTGGGAGGTGGCCCCGGGCTTTCCTCACGGCCCCGGCGCCCTGAAGTCGCTCGCCTCGTTCGCGGGTCTCGTCCTCGTCTTTCCCAGTACGGTGCGTGTCTCTGGCCGCCCGCCCGCCGGACTTGAATCTTTAACTGTTGTGTAGCTGTCCATCAGTAACGTTTAATTCGCAGATTATTTCCCAATTAAAAGACGACAGTAGCTTTTTTTTTTTCCTTTTTTTTTTTTTTTTTTGTTACCTAGTTTGGAGCAGTAGAAATAGTGGTTTTTGATTACGTGGTGGGGGGAGGGAAGGGTTAGGTGTTTTATGTGCTTGCTTAAGGAAGATGTACGTAGGGAATAATGACTGTAGACCTTGGCGGGGGGGCGGGGGGGGGGGTTTTTTTTTTTT